GGTTTGTCTGGGCGTGCGGGTGCCAATGTCTTTGGCGATGGCTTTCCACGGTCCTTGGGGGAACAAGTCGATGGCCGCAAGGAACCGAGTGTGCTCAATGACGGTCCACGCGCCAGTTGTGGTCGGCGCCGCTTTGGAGGTGACGGACGCATGCCCGAGGAACATGGCTTGAGTAGAAAAGTACTTCATGGCAATGGGAGCGAATGGATACATAATGACAAAGGTAGATTTACTGCTCCATGATGGTATGTGACATACCATCATGTTGGCACGACCAACCCCTCGTTTGAACCAGTGCCAGCCAATGAAAGTCGGGTGGGTTATGACTGATTCGGTCATAACATGTTGCCAACTTAGCACTACAGTATTTTGACATAATAATTCCCATCGGGACAATATGACCACCGTTGGATCATCGTGAGTTGGTACAATAATACTGTGAAGTAGTCCGAGGAATTGGAGGCAGTTGCCAAACCACCTACGCAGCAGGATCACAGTACACTAAGGTACCGCGCTATGAAATGTGAAGATTTAACGTGTGGTTAGAGTTCGAAAGAACGCCCATGGGCCACCAACTCCAGTACGGTGTGATCAATTCGAACTCGATTTCTTTGCCATGCGCATCTGAATGTTGTTGAACCCATTGCGCATTTATGCTACGAGCTAAGTCAGCCTGGCACCGTGTGGTGCACCTACAATCAAATGTGAAGGTTTAAAGTACTACAGGAACAACGGTCAACCATTTTACATCAAATACACGGCTGAAATGCAGATATATTTCGTTGCGACTGGTATGGCAGACTGATTTCGGTGTCAATGCTGTATTGTACCACTATTTTGTCCACGTGCGCGGCTTTGCTAGGGCTCCCCCGGTGTTCCGCAGTAAAATCGTGAAACTGATGCCAACAGCACACCGGTACAGCCATCGACCGAAGAGCCCTGTTGTATTGGCGCCTTGTACTCACTGGAAAATGGACATTGAAACACTTCGACTTTGATGCACAACGCCTGCAAGGATGACCTTCAAATGCACAAGGTACATACTAGTACATCCCTAAACCCGGAGGGAGGTTTATCGTTACTTGAACTAGTAGTTCATCGAAGTATCAATCTACTGCCAAGGAGGGATGTAGACATCCCCAAAGATCTCCCCCCCCCAAATTCAGATCACTGCCCGAGAAGTAAACTCAGTTGCAGTCGTGCGTTCGAATTCAGGGGTATCGCAGGCCCTTGCTGCTATCTCGCGTCATTTGACATCGAAATAGTATTGCGTGGTAGTTACATTGTGAATTTTCCCCTTGAAATGAGAAAACGTTGGACTAGTAAAGGAGGGAATGTGTTTGGCTCCCGACGGCTGCTGGTCGATGTGGTGTTCAAGGTTTGAGGATGTAAACAATATTTTGAGATTGGGAGAACTATGCACAGTAGCATTACTAATATATATTAACTGTAAGAACACACTACAACCTGTCCTCATTGCGGCAGATTCGCGAGATTCGTCCAGCACGCAAGGCTTGACATGCACACTGTTACGAGTTCGCACGACCGCAGCTAACATGTCGTAGACCGTGGCGCTTTAAATAACGAGGACTTGTCATGCACGACTGCGGTCGCGAGCCGTGCGGTCGATCAGACATTCGCTGCCGTCGACGAGGTTGAATCACGAGTTCACGTCATGGTTCCGTCGGCAACTGGAGTGTCGAAAAGATCCCAGTCGCTTGAGTCGACCACCAACCCGACAAGGAAGTCCATGGCGTCGTCCATCGAGAGCGTGTTGCTGGGCACGCACGCAGGAAGAATCGCTTCGAGCAGCGCCACATGCGTCTTGACTTTGGACACGTCGCCGATGGCCGACTTGATCTTTCTCGTCGGCAACTTGGGCGCCTTGCTCTGGCGAAACAGCTTCTCGCGGTACTTTTGCGCATGGGTCTGGGTTTGTCTGGGCGTGCGGGTGCCAATGTCTTTGGCGATGGCTTTCCACGGTCCTTGGGGGAACAAGTCGATGGCCGCAAGGAACCGAGTGTGCTCAATGACGGTCCACGCGCCAGTTGTGGTCGGCGCCGCTTTGGAGGTGACGGACGCAGGTCCGAGGAGCATGGCTTGAGTAGAAAAGTACTTCATGGCAATGGGAACGAATGGATAATGAGGAAGGAGAGGGTAATCTCGCAGAAAAGACAGTTTCAGTACCCCTACCCCTCGTTTGAACCAGTGCCAGCCAATGAAAGTCGAGGGGATTATGACTGATTTGGTCATATCATGTTACCCTTGTCACTTGACGCCTTGTGAGAAAAATTAGATCGGGACAATTATACTGTATGACCTTCCATGGATGTATTGTGCGTCGGAACTTTATTTGACCTTCTCGAACAAACGCGGCCAGTTCGGAATCGACGCAATTGCGAAGCCTAGCAGCAGCAACAGCTTGGTGAAGTTGTACAGTACACATTCTATAAGCTTACCTAGTTAGTGGGGAGATTCAATGGGTGTCGGATGATTAAGGTACGAGAAGCATCCCCGCTCGCCATGGGATTCGAGCAGCACCAGCAACCTCTGGTCGTGGTTTGCCGAAAATACCAAAATGATTTGGTCCGTTTCTATATTCCGAGCTTCGTCACGGCAACAGCTCACCACCAGTACGAAAGGCCCTTTGGATGATCAAATTTTGACTGGTGATATCTTGGAGAACAACGTCCTGTCGTCACCATTCACTCGGAGACGACGAAAATGACGAAGTGCGACAGGTGGGGCTTGAAAATTATGGAACCGTCGCAATTGGTGAAGGACTGTTAAACTTATACCTCACACGACATTCCACCGTGCAAGTTGGAGACTTGACAGTGGACTTCCTTTCACTGTCAGCAGTGATCGCTAGAATACATAACAGAAATCGACATGCGCGGAGATTCCACTTGTTTTGAATCCAAAGTGTCACATTTCGTCATCGGGTAGTGTCGTGGACGATCCAGAATTTTTGACAAAATCCACGATATCCCATTGGTGATGGAAGTGCCACGGTTTTATGCTGTGGGAGTATAAATACGTCCAATCGACGCCAACATTTGCAATGCAGGTTCAAACATGATCATGGCTACGAGCCATGGGGTCACTTGCTTGAACTGGCACATGTATCGAAAGAATCTCCAGTCTATGTTAACTTAGTGGAACATGCGAACCCAATTGGAAGGAGGGGGGGTTGTGATGAAGGATTCACTTTCTTCGGCCTCAACACCATCCCGATCGTACCATGTTTTGGCTTGACTTTATGGCGCTATCATTTGCTGGGGTCGATGATGAAGTTCGTAATCAATCGCATTGTCAACAGTCGATGTTGTACGCCACGTGGTCACTGACCTACAGTATGCAGTTGCCCAACTGCATTGAATGATTAAAAAGGGTTCTGGTCTGGGAAGATTTGTTCCAGAACGTCAAGTGCAGGCAATATCCAACCTGTAGTCGGCATATCCTCGGGCAGTCACATTGTACCGCAAAACGCGCAATTTGTCTTGATCATTTTCGTTTTCAACTTCAAACCTCGACATATTACCGTCCTCGCGGTGGTTTCTCATTATTCAATTGTCCACTACAGCACTACTACCATGAAGTACTATTCCACTCAAGCCGTGCTCGTCAAGCCTACGTCCTGCACACCCAGGTAGCCCCGACCTCGACCAGGGTTTGGACTGTCATTGAGCACACTCGGTTCTTTGCGGCCATCGACTTGTTCCCCCAAGGACCGTGGAAAGCCATCGCCAAAGACATTGGCACCCGCACGCCCAGACAAATCCAGACCCATGCGCAAAAGTACCGAGATAAGCTGTTTCGCCAGAGCAAGGCGCCCAAGTTGCCGACGAG